TAAATCTTACATATATGTTAATATGTTGAATTTGAAAAATGTTGGCCTCTTAAAAAGAGTCATTCTTAAAAGTCAGAATGATCCTTCCTAACCCAAATGTATCTTCCTCCACCTTATCTTACCAAGATTTCCTATCCTTTGTGTGTGTGTAGGGGGGAGGTGAACCCAGGGTCACTCGACCACTTGGCTACATCCCCAGCCATATTTTGTATTTTATTTAGAGACAGGGTCTCACTGAGTTACTTAGTGCCTCTCTGTTGCTGAGGCTCGCTTTGAACTCGCGATCCTCCTGCCTCAGCCTCCCCCAACAGCTGGGATTACAGTTGTGAGCCACTGTGCCTGGGTAAGATTTCCATATTTTTTCTTAATTTTTTTTAATATTTATTTTTTTAGTTTTTCTGCGGACACAACATCTTTGTTTGTATGTGGTGCTGAGGATTGAACCCAGGCCGCACGCATGCCGGGCGAGCGTGCTACCGCTTGAGCCACATCCCCAGCCCCATATTTTTTCTCCTTGGAAGAAAGATAATGGATTAATTGCAAGTTCCCAGGTTTGCAAGTACTAAGTGATGCCTTAGTGACTGAGGGGAAGGACAGGTGCAGTGGTACACACCTATAATCCCAGCTACTCAATTCCAGCTACTCTGGAGGCTGAGACAGGAGAAATGAAAGCTAAAGGCAAACCTGGACTACTTAGCAAAATTCAAAATAAAACAGAAATAGAAAAAGGGCTCAGTGATAGGCACCCCTGGGTTCCATCCCCAGCATGGTGGGGGGGGGGGGGGGGAGGGTGGAAGGTTGTTATTTTGTTTTTTTTACCACAAGAGGGCACTAATCAATCAAGTAAATTTCAACCTATCATTAGAAAACAAAGAAAGCTCTAGGAAGTTATTTCTACTATTTTCCATTAAAAAAAAAATGCTGTCCTAGCAGAATAAAATAGACATTATTATTGCTGTATGTACATACCTGACTTTATGACCAATGTGATTCTGCAACCTGTATACTCAGAAAAATGAGAAATTATACCCCAATTCAAATGTATGATATGTCAAGATCATTGTACTGTCATGTGTAACTAATTAAAACAAATAAAAAATTTTAAAAAGAAAAAAAAAATGCTGTCCTCTATATATCTAGATATATACCTATCTAGTAGTTCTGGAGACTGAACCCAAGGCCTTGCACATAGTAGGTAAACTACTGTACCATTGAGCTACTTCCAGCCCCTATTCTTTGTTTAGACTATAGTGGCTTAGTACTAAAGATTGAACCTAGTGTCTCCTGCATGATAGGTATGCTGTATTACTAAGTCACAGCCCCGCTGCCCACCCCCAGCCCCAGGCAGGGTCTAACTAAATTGCCAAGGCTGGCTTCAAACTTGTGAGGAATCTCTCTGCCTCAGCTTCCCAAGTAGCTGGAGTTATAGCCATGAACCACCATGCCTGGAAAAAAATGTTTTGAGCACTTAGTATGTGGCAAACATTGGGGTAGGTGGTAAATGGTTATGAAATTTATAGTCCTGAATACCTACTGTGTGTCTGAGAGTGCCTGAGAGCCTAGACTTGCAAGTGGAGTCCAATTTGTGTGTGTGTGTGTGTGTGTGTGTGTGAGATACTGATTGTCTTCCTGCCCTTAGCCATGAGTCTGAGAACAATTACTTAGTGTCTACTTTGTGTCACACTGTGTGCTGGTTTCATGAAATACAAGGATGAATAAGACACAGTTGCAGCCTACCAATAGGCAATGTTTTACTTAAGCTAGTTTTGTAGAATTGCAGTTCCTCTGACTTGAGAATTGGGAAAGACTTGAGTACAAAACTCATTACCACACTAAGCTGCCAGCCTTCCAGCTTAGGATCATGTCCATAGTGGATACTTAGTATGAGTTTGTGAGTTGAACTCAGGGGACAGCTTCTGGTCTGGGTGGCAGATGTATATTCAAGTGGGTTAGGTGAGAGAGCTATCATTGTATAGATCAGGGTGAGGCTATGATTTCATATAGGTGAAATGCTTTGAAGATGAACTTTCTGCCTATTTGTCTACTCACAACCTTGCTATTAAAGGTGTCAACACCATCTCCCACGTTTCCAGGTCAGCAATCTTCATGTCCCTAAATTGGTGGAGGACTGGAAAGCTGAATAAGGCATACATCATTATTTTGGGAGGAGAGTTACATTGAATAGGAAGACACTTCTCCCTACTAGCTTCCAACTTAGGGCCTGACAGTTCTCTACACTGAGCCACATCTCCAGCCCAACACTTCCCTTCCTCTGACAAGAGCTCTAATTCTAGTGGAGTTTGGTCTCAAGACCTAGATGGGGGGCTGGGGATGTGGCTCAAGCGGTAGTGCGCTCGCCTGGCATGCGTGCGGCCCGGGTTCGATCCTCAGCACCACATACCAACAAAGATGTTGTGTCCGCYGAGAACTAAAAAATAAATATTTAAAAAAAAAAAAAGACCTAGATGGTAGGTAAGGCTGGGGGTTAGAGAATGTTTAAAGTATGGAGACCTCATTCATTGAAAACAAACAAACCCAAGAAAGAAAGAAAAAAAAAAGAAATAAAAGAGAAAGGCCCTTTATGATTTGTGCACACTGATTTTCTTTCAAAGAGTACAGTATAGAATGATGAAGAAGGATGAAACTATACTTTACAATGAAGAAACCTGATATACTTACTACTTCAGCCAGGTGATCAAGGTCAACATCAACAGTGCTAAGTCATGTTGCTTTATCATGTGTCCTCGGTATGGTATGATGAATATGGCATTTTTATCTCTATGATTTTTTCTCTTAAAACCCATAACCCCAGTCTTATCACAAATCCCAGGTGAAGGACCACCTACAAAACATTTGAGGCCAGAGGTGGTGGTGCATGCCTATAATCCCAGCATTAATTATAATTTGGGAGGCTAGGCAGGAGGAACAAAGTTCAAACCCAGCAGCTTAGTGAGGTCCTGTTTCAAAATAAAAACAAAAAGTTCTGGGAATAGAGCTCAATGGTAAAGTTTCCCTGGGTTCAATCCCCAGTACACTCCCTACTATAAACAAAATTGTTTTGACCAATATTTTTCAAAAGTATCAAGGCATCAAACACAAGAAAAGTCTAAGAAACTGTCACAGTCAAGAGGGAGTCTAAGGAAACATGAAAACTATAGTCTGGTAGCTTGGATGGAATTCTGGGACAGAAAAGGGACATTAGGCAAAAACTAAGGCAATATGAATAAAGCATGAACATTAATGATAATGTATAATACATTAATAATAATGTATCAATATTGGTGATAAATATACTACACTAATATGTTATTAAGGGAAACTAGGTGCCAGGTACATGAGAACCCTACTGTCTTCTCACTTTTTCTGTAAATTTAAAACTGTTGTAAATATAAAGTGTATTAAAAAAAATGAAGAGTGGTATCCACAAAATAACTATACTGTTCTTTAAAGCTCCTAGTTATGGATCACTTGCCAGTCACCATGCTAAATGCCATACATAGATGATCTCATTTAATCATTACAATTGCTTGTGTTAGGTATAATTAATATAAGTGGTGGAACCAGGGTTGAAACCAAGATCTCTGTGATCTCAAAATTGAATGGAACTCTCAGTATGCTGACTTTTCTGGGAAAGGGTTCACACAGTTACAACACATGCTTTTCTAAGAGAAATAAGTATTCTTTTTTAAAAATATATTTTTAGTTGTAGATGGACATAATACCTTTATTATTTTTATGTGGTGCTGAGGATCAAACCCAATWCCTCACACAAACACTCTACCACTGAGCCACAATCCCAGTCCAAGAGAAAGGAGTATTCTAAATAATGGGGACTGAAGCCTGTCTCCACATTTTACTTCAGTTATGATTACCTCAGGAGTTGGAGGTTGAACAATCAAGCTGAAAGAACTATGGGGATGGGTGTCAAAAGTCCAATCTCAGTAGTTTTACAAACCCGGATAAGCAGAGCAGTTGTCCATCCCATAGCACATTGAGAAGGGCCAGGAAACCAGGTTTAGTTTAATTCTCTTTCCTCATAACTTCCTCTTTGTAGTTATTAAGGGAAGCAGGAACTGGCCTTCCTGCCTTTTCTCTTTTGAAAACATGCCCTCTCTAAGATGGGTGATTTGCCCAGTGGCACACAGGCCAGGAGATTGGATCTGCGGGAGATTAAGTTGGGAGAGAAGTTGGGAAATAGATGGACATAATACCTTTATTTTATTTATTTTTATGTGGTGCTGCGACTCGAACCCAGTGCCTCACACTTGCCAGGCAAGCACTCTTCCACTGAACCCCAACCCCAACCTCAAGCTGGGAAATCTTGTTCCCATCGCTATGACCCATATTATCAGTCCTTCTTATTCAAGCACCTACTAAGTTCAGGGACTGCAGACTGGATGTTGCGGGGGTGGGATGGGGTTGGAGGTGGTCTGTAGAGGACTAGAGCTCGTCCTAGGACTAGTCCTAGGACTGCTGTTTGGAGGCCGGTGAATACACGTTGGGGGAAGTCACTGAGAGCTCTTGGACCTGAAAGTCCCTTACCGGACACGCCTCTGGAACCGCGGCGCCAAGCCACAAAACCGACCCTTTGGGGCCAAGGCGATTCTCGACCGCCCGCCCTCAGGCTCCTACAGCCATTAGCCCTTTAAGGGCGGGGGACACGCGCCGGCGTCACAAAGCGCCGCCACCGCCACCGCGCGGGCGGGAGGGATGGAAGCCGGGAACGGAGGGGAGGAGGGGAGGAGGACGAGGCAGGCAGGCGGGCGGGCGGGGGAGGGAGGGGCGCGCGCACGCGCGTCGGGCCGCCAGCCGCCAAGAGCCGCCCCCCTCCTGGCGCGCGCCCCTCCTCCCTCTCTCCCTCCCTCCTTCTCGGCTCCGTCGCTCCCGCGGCGAGAGGCGCTCTCGTTCTCCTCCTCCGCCCCTCCCCCCGCGCAGCCGCCGCCGCCGCCGCTGCCGCGAGACCCCCGCGCGCCACGCTCCCCCTCCCCCTCCGGCCCCGCGCGCCCTTCGGCCCCGGCGGCCCCCGAGGCGAACGAGAGGGCGAGCGAGCGCGGCGCTCCCGGGCCGGCCCGGCCCCCTCCGCTCACCATCGCCGGCCCTTCGCCGCCTTCCTCGGCTTCCACCTCCTCTCCCCCCCCCCCAAGTAGAGGCCCCCTCCGGGGGGGGGAGGCCCCGGACCGGGAGCGGATTCCCCCAACTCCTTCAACCCCTCCCCCACCCGGCCGGAGTGTGAGGAGAAGGGCCCGGCCCGGCCCGGCCCGCGACGCGTGTGAGGACACCGGGCCGGCCCACGGGCCGTCTGGGGCCTGGTCCGGCCCGCCGGGTGTGTGAAGACCGGGGCCCCGTGCGGCCAGGCCCGAGGGCGAGCGGAGGGGAGGGGCCTGGTCCGGCCCGGCCGGTGCGCGAGGACTGGGGCCCCGGCCCGGCACCGCCGCCGCCGCCGCGATGGCCCAGCAGCAGATGACCAGCTCGCAGAAGGCCCTGATGCTCGAGCTGAAATCCCTACAGGAGGAACCGGTGGAGGGCTTCCGGATCACCCTGGTGGATGAGTCCGACCTCTACAACTGGGAGGTGGCCATCTTCGGACCCCCCAACACCCTCTACGAAGGCGGCTACTTCAAGGTACCCTCACCCCCTCCTGGACCCGGCTTTCCCTGCCGAGGCCTCGGTTCCTCCCCGCCTTGGGCAGTTTTCGGGGCGGAGAGTGTGAGCGCGGGTGCGTGGAGGGGGCTTCTCGCCTCGTAGCCCCCTCCCCCATCCGTGGAGGCAGGAAGGCCTTGCTCACCAAGTGCCTTTTCTTTGTCATGGGGCGGGGGCGGGAGGCCAGACTGCACCGGGAAATAGGAAAGTCTCTCCGGCTGGGGTAGTGGCTACAGGGGAAGGAGGGCTGTCTTTGTTTCCCCAGCTGAGGGTGTGTGGAAAGAGGTGGTCTTTCTTTTCTTGATCTCCCATTAGAGCTCTCCCTGCGCAGGCTGGAACTGCCCCAGAGGGCAGGGTGACCTGCACTTATTGGATTGGACTTTTCTTTTTTTGGGGGTGGGGGGTGGGGGGAGGGGAATTAGCCTGTCATTCCAGAGGCTGCCAGTGCCCTGACATTTTGAGGTTTCATTGGGCTTCTTGGATAGTGGTAGTTCCAACTTTGCATTCCAGTGTGCTGTAATAAAGGACCCTAGGGGTGGTTTAAAAAAGAGGTGCTTGCGTTGTCTTGCCATTATCCACTTGAAGGAACTTTAGCCTTCTTTCTGTCCTCATTCTCCATTTACCTCAGTCAGTGCTTCTTTAAAAACGCCCTTTGTCCTCACCCCGCCATCAAGTTTACTAGCATTTTTTTYCTTCATGTAGAAACACCCACAAAGGGTGGAACGTGTCTTGAGGGGAGATTGATAGTTTCCCACTTTAGGGAAACAAAATGGAAAGATTTTGCTCAGGTAGAACTCCAGCGAGTGGAGTCATTTCACAGATGAAAAGTATCGCAGGTGAGATGGTTTTCTCTGGGTGGGATGGCTCCTTAGAGACCATAGACATTGTTTCTATTGTTTCCTGTGATTTTAGAACAGTGCTTCCAAAATTATTCTGGAATCCAAAGTATTTTTCTAAAAACTCCAAGGTAGATGACTTGGAGGTAGTTTTTCTTTTGTTTTGGGGTTTAGCATTTTTGCAGGGAGGAATCCCAAATTGAGGATTTGAATTTTTAAATTTTGGTGGCAAGACAGAGGAAATGAGTACTTAGGAATCCATTTTATTTTATTTTTTTTATTTCCAAAATTAAGTGAAATAGGCCAGTGAGTCAGTTTTAGTTTGTTTTGAAGGGAGGGGTTATCTTGGCACAGGTTTTAAATGAGTATCTTAGTCATGTAGTTGTGATGTGTATTTTTAGGACTTAACCAATTACTTAACTCTTGTTTTCTACCCTTCTCTAAAGGTAGAAGCTTTAGTTTCAGGCTTTAAATTGGGTCAACTTTGTAGAAGATAGTATTGATATGGAACTGTTTAATAATGACACCATGATACTAGGAACACCTAGTAAAAAACGCATTTTTAGAATATTATGTAACAGTGATATTCCTACCGTTTGCTTCATTTTTTGTGAATATAAATTACACTTTATGTATGTGTGTATATTTGTCAACACATGCTATATTTTTCAGATGCAGGAATTTAAAATTGCTAAGTAAAGGTGCAAGTTATTAGTGGCAAATGGAAAAGGTATTGCATTGTTCATGTTGAGGTACACTCTACTTTTAAAAAATTTTTTAGTTGTTGATGGACATTTATTTTATTTATAAAATAAATTGAATTTATTTATAAAATAAATTGAGAATTGAACCTAGTGCCTCACGCATGCTAGGCAAGCGCACTACCACTGAGCCCCAGCCCCATACACTCTACTTTTAAATATAAATTTTTATTTATAGATATTGGAAATATTTTTGCACAAAACGGAATTTTTTTTTTATAAAAGCATTTTCAGCAAAATATTATTTAACTTCAATGGATAAAGTTTTAACTTTTAAAAAGTCTTTGGAATAACTGATGGTTAAGGCAAATGGGTACTAGTTAGAATAATCTTACTCCAATGCAATTTTGTTAAAAAAAAAAAATTGTGAAAGAAAATAATGGGTTGCAAATTGTAGTGTGGTTAAAAAAACCTCACAGTTTGGGGCTGGGTTATAGCTCAGTTGGTAGAGTGCTTGCATTGCCTGCACAAGGCTGCAGGTTCAATCCCCAGCACCCCCCCCCCCCCACACACACAAAAACTCACTCACAATTTGGAATTGGTAGTATGCAAGGGTTCCTTGTAGCATATACGCTGATTTAAAACAAAGGCTTTTTAATTTNCACACACACACACAAAAACTCACTCACAATTTGGAATTGGTAGTATGCAAGGGTTCCTTGTAGCATATACGCTGATTTAAAACAAAGGCTTTTTAATTTCAGTCCTGTTAAAAAAGAATGGCTTGAGGGGCTGGGGATGTGGCTCAAGTAGTAGCTCGCTCGCCTGGCATGCATACGACCCTGGTTCGATCCTCAACACCACATAAAAAAAAAGATGTTGTGTCCGCTGAAAACTAAAAAATAAATATTAAAAAAAAAAAAGAATGGCTTGAACTGGGGTTGTGGCTCAGTGGTAGAGCACTAACACTGGGTTCGATTCTCAGCACCACATAAAAATAAAGGTATTGTGTTCATCTACACCAAAAAAAAAAAAAAAGTTAAAAAAATGAATAGCTTAAATTTCCTATTTTGTTGTGTTAGATTTATTAGCCTTTGAGAGTGTTTACCTTAAATTTGATTTTTGTTTTTGTTTTTGTACTGTGGATCTAAGTGCCTTGCCATTCTACTACCTCCAGCCCCTTTACCTTTAATTCTGAAGTGTAAAAAATGTGTGGAATTTTTTTTTTTTTTTTTAATCCAGGGGTGCTTAAGCCACTGAGCCACATCCCCAAGCCTTTTTAATTTATTTTTTAATTTGAATCAAGGTCTCACAAACTTGCTTAGGGCCTTGCTAAGTTTTTTTTTTTTTTTAATAATCGTTTTTTTTTTTAATTTATTTTTTTTTAGTTTTCGGCAGACACAACATCTTTGTTTGTATGTGGTGCTGAGGATCGAACCCGGGCCGCACGCATGCCAGGCGAGCGCGCTACCGCTTGAGCCACATCCCCAGCCCCCCTTGCTAAGTTTTTGAGGCTAGCTTTGAACTTGTCCTGCCTCAGCCTCCTGAGCCATTGAGATTATAAGCTTGTGCCACCTTGCCCCACTGAAAATTCTTGTTATTTGTGGTGCTGGGCAATGAACCCAGGTCAGGGTTTTGTGCATACTAGGCAAGTGCTGTTCTACTGAGCTACATCCCCAATCCTTTTACCTTTATTTATTTATTTTTTTAAATTTATTTTTTAGGTGTAGATGGACATAACCCAATGCCTTTATTTTTTTATGAGGTGCTGAGGATGGAACCCAGGGCCCTGCCCGTGCTAGGAGAGTGCTCTACCGCTGAGCCACAATCCCAGCCCACTCTTTTACCTTTAATTTTAACTTATAAAAAACGTATGAATATTTTAGTCTTGTATGAAAATTTATTCAATAATGTTTTCTTCTATTTTGTCCTTTATTGTATTGCCTTTTATCTCATTCGTCCTTTGTTGGAAAAAAGGCAAATTTAAATTTATGGTCATTGTTTTTTATTCCACTGCTTTTGTCTTAAAACAAGGCTTTTAGTGTGTTCCACTACAGCTGCAGTTAAAAGTTGGCACAGAGCTTTTTGTACAACTCTTCTCCCTTATCAAATGTTGTTAATTTTTGAACATTTGGTATAATTTATTTTCAAGTTGAATTTTTTCTGTTGGACATAATTGTTTGGATAACTGCCAATCATTCTTTAAAATTCTCAGAGTATAACTTCTTTAACTTTTAGGTGTTAGTAGATTTCTAACATCTTTTCACCATGCAGTGGTTGGCACCACAGGAACTGTGGTGGAGACTGAGACTTATACTGTTTCTTAGTATTTTTGTTTTTTGATTCATCCTTTTTTCACTTTTTTAGTACCTCTAAACTGATTCTTAGCTTTGGAGGCAATGAATGTATGATGGGAAAAGGTAGTTTCTTCTGTTTTGCATATTATAAAATCCTGCCCTCACCTTTTCTTGATGTTATTGAGGGAATATCTGAATTTCTTTGCTTCTTGGAATTTTTCCTCTATTAGTTGATGGTTTAGGACATAGAGAACACCCCTGAGCTCATTTTGATACTATGGAGCAAGCTGGAATTTTTATTATGTTACTGTTGATCAAGGCAGTAGTTTCTCCCCTTTAAAAGGAACTATCTTTTCAAATACCTTCTGATGATGATTACAATGAAGTGTGAATGATTTGGTATAGAACCTCCTTGGAATTCCTACATTATTTATCTAAAAGCATGATAGTGTGAGATTATAGTCAGAAATGAGAGTGCCTTTCATCATATTCATAATATAAAAGTTTAGATAATAAAGAAAAACTTAAAATATCATAGGTAACTTCTGTAGATTTTATTCAGTAATCTGAGATAATGAAATAATAGATGCATTCCATTTTTAGAAAACCCCAACTGACAAAAAGTATTTGTTAAATACTTAAAATTTTCCCTAATAGGAGTACTTCCTTATCAGAATAACAAACTCTTCAATTCTGTACATGTGCGTGCACACACACTTTTTTAAAATAAAGGAATATGCATATTCTCTAGGCTCCATTTGTTCTAGGATAAAATAATCTGTTTTCTGCCTCTCCTTTACCATCGGCCCCAGGCTCTTGAGCTGCTAGGATTACAGGCATGTGCCACCTCGCCCAGCAATAATAATTCTTAATTCTTGTGGTTTTTTTCAGGGGGTGTAGGGGGAACCTTGTGTGTATGTGGTCCTGGGGATCGAACCTAGGGAGCTCATTGTACCCCTGAGCTATATTCCCAGCTCTTTTAAAGAATTTTTTTATACTGAGACAGGGTCTTGTTAAGTTGCCCAGGCCGACCTTGAACTTTATTAGTATTGGGAAACCCAGGGGTGCTTTACCCTTGAGCTGCGTTCCCAACCCTTTTTAATTATTTTTTTATTTTGAGACGAGTTCTCTCTAACTTGCTTAGGGCC